GTTTTTTCCAAACCCCAATAATTGGGCTTTAAAATCCAAACAGTTCGGGCCCTTGTTTTGTTAATGCTGCTTGGGCAACAACGGCGTGTCTAAGGACGCGTGCCCGGAGTTTGGAAATTACCATTTCTATCCATGTCCTACTTCCCATGTCCATTTGACGCAGAAAACATGTTTGCCTTGTTTGTTGCCTTCCAATTCTGGTGGGATTTAGGCCTGGGGAAAATCAGACAACACATCAATGCAAGTAGAAAGTAACTAGCACATGCGATATTGCTTGAGTTCCAACTTTGGCATATAAATGTGGGTATTCACTTTGAATGCTGTCATTTTACAAAAAGACAAACCGCAAAACACAATAGCGCACTGTTGTGCGATCTTGACAGTCAAACAAAATTAGACATGTTTCACGACCAACATCGACCCACACTGATTTCTCTATTTGTGTACCGGATGCCTTAAATCTGTCAGATTGGTCTTGTTTTTCCATTTGTTCTCCAAAATACGCGAAGCGAGCGAGCCCTAGTTTTTTTTGCTCCAGGTGCTACTTTTTGTGTGTAAGAGACGGCGTACCTTCTTGTTTTTCACTGCTGTCACTGGCATGCCCCAATCCAAAAAAAATATAGCATCAGAAGAGGCCCCTAAACCTTCAAGAAATGCTGAGCTTTCCCAATTGTTCAACATAGGCCCAACCTGATGCCTAACATGGTTTCCAAACACCCAGCATGAAAATGGCCCACCATACACATTTCACAAGCAGCCTCAACCATGTTTTTCGGTCGATGACTTAAGGAAACGCCAAAACGACGCAACATAGGTTTCAAACGGCCCAAGATAGGCCCAGCAGAGCTTCCAAATGGCCCAACATAGGCTCAACAAAGGCACCAAAACGGCGCCGAAATGTTTTTGGCCGAGGGCCTAAATTACTTAAGCAAACCAGCGTAGCTTCCAAATAGACCAGCATAGTCCAACATAAAAATATAGAAATGAACATATTACAAAAAACTAGATTTGAGCGTTTGTTGCCATCAAAGAGGTATAGAAACTACATCTCCGTACAGGTAGCTGTGCACGCGCACATACACATGTATATATAGACAGCATAGTTTACTTCCGAAAAGGCAGAATTCAGAAATGTGTTTGTTTTTGATTGTTGGTGTTTGACATATTTGTAGTAGAAACAAACTCACCCATGTCAGTTTTAAACGCGTTTCAACAATTGAGGGAATTAGATCTTGAATCTGTATTCAGCTAAGAATCGCACCAAGTCTTCGAAGTACAAGCTATGTTGGTTGCTCGCGTGGATTGACACTGGACTGCGTCCTCAGTTGAGGACGCAGCCGTCTAAACATATTGTTCGGCAGTGTCTTGTTTCATATGTTCATGTAATTACTTTCTTTTTCGCCCGAGAGAAACTTCCAAGTTTTACGGGAGCGCGTCTTGCAAGTAGTTGGTGCGGGCACTGGCGCCATTTTCCCGAAACATATATGCGTAGTAGTAAAGACGGTCTACTTCTCTTGTTTTGCCGGATTTTTCCTTCAGGTAACAAAAGAGGTGCGTGCCCTGTTCTCTCTGGTTCACAACTTGTGGCTTAAATGGCGGCAGTTTTTTGGAACCCATTTGGACGAGAAAATGCGTGAAAATTTGAGGCTGGCTCATTTGTACCTCCCTGGGCCCCAAGAAGGTCAAATGGGGGCATGTACCAACTTAGTTGGTACGAACGACGCTCTAGGATGAAATGTTATGAACGGTTGTGAGAGAAATCGGCACTCTCAAATAGTCGTTACTTGTTGTTGGGCGTGGTAGTGAGGACTGACAGAACGGGCCCGAGTCTCCATAGTAATCTCCGTGGTACTTCTTTACACACAACGCACTTCTGAGTCTCTGCACGCTGAAGTCTTGCAAATCAGAAGCTTGTTGAAATCTAACCGCTTCCCATCTTTGCACACACCGCTTCTCCCTGAGCTGCCAATGCCAGGGCTGCCATGTTCCATAGGTGATTCCGATCTCAGACAAATAGCTCCGTGACGCAGCAACCTCTTGTTCTTGCTTACTTTTCTTCTGGTTCTTCATCTTCTTTGCCACACGGCAGCGCCCATTGTCCACGACCATGCCTGCACCTTCTACCTCTGGAACCTCCGGAACGTCTGGAACATCATCGGACTGCACCTTGGGTACTTCCAAAGACACACCAGGGCGCTGTCTCCCAGGCAGGGGCCAATGTGCCACTGCCAATCTTCCTTGCTTTTCTCTGAGATGATTTCGGTCTTGTTCTTTGGAGTGGCATCAGCCTTCTTCTTGGGTGGATTCGACATCCTCTGACTCGAGTCTGATTTCTCTTCCACCTCAATCAGGAGGAACAGGTGAGAGGATTCGATCTGCAACCTGCGGAAGCTAGCTTTTTTGGAGATCCTGAACACGCTGCAAATCTTTGCTGTCATGTTCATTGAGGTGTTCTTTTTCTTAGTCACTCTCGATCAGGCGTTTTGCACACCGCAACGATGATGAATTCAATGTCAGCGCGAACCCTGACGGTGCGACTACATGGGTTTGAAATCTGAACGTGGAAGGCTCATCCACAAGATTGCGCTACGCAGACAGCGCAAGCAAACCGCCTGCGGATGAGTTGGAGGCTGGTTGCCTCAACGCCTACAAAGGGAAAACCTTTAACGCGCTAAAGCACGCAAAAATCAACACACAGCAACAAACCGTTCATGATCAGCGGGCCTTAGTGCTGACAAATGCAGAGCTCATCCACACACGTTTGGAGAGGCGCGCGCGCAGAAATGTCGGTGTTCCCCATCAAAGGGCTGTACTGATTGCGATGCTGCCACCATTAAGGAGCAGGGTGGCCCACCCACTACCACCCCGCCAGGAACAAGTCCCAGCGGCCCAGCGGGCTCAGGGTATAAAAAGAATCAACGCACACAAAGATACTGCCACGGCACAGAGTGTCTCCCGACATGTCAAGAACGTCCATTGGAGCACCAACAAGACGCGCGCGAAACTAGTCAGATAATGATTCTTGTCCAGCTGGATGTCGTAAGATTTGGCCAGCTTTGCGCCAACATTTCCTGGGCAGGAACATGTGTACATGTGCGCCAGTGCCTTGACTTGCGCACGCTTGAACTACCTTTGATTCACGTAGGGTACAAGAGGCGCCTTCTTCTCTGATGCGCCAAACAAGTGGAAGCAGTCCAAAGAACGGACACCTGAGATTCATTTAGATTTTCTTTTTGTGAGGATATTGCCTGTCTCAAGCCAGAAAAATTCAGAACAATACCGCTAATCAATATATCACGGCGCTCTCCCAAGCCAGCAACTCGACAAGCAAGGTGAGAAAGCGCATGTGCCCTTCAGCCTTAAACCACCTAGGCCGACACCGTCACTATAAGTCCCCTGACGTGTCTGATCAATATAGAGGCGGTGACATCACTCATGCCTGAATTTTGAGTGCGTCCAAAAATGTTTATAGGCTTCTTTTGGCTTCTGCCAGGTTGGTTGGCCCATGTCTTTACAGAGGCCACAATGTTGCAATCTACATATTGTGTGGTTTGGTGGGACAAAAAAGAATAACATCTATGTTGAAAAGTCAATTACGTTTACCATGGTTTGCCCATAACATCATAACATCCAATTGTTATCCATTGTTTTATCCTTTTTCCAAGCCACCCAACACATCCCTACTACTCCATAGCAAGGCTCTGCCTCTCAGAGATTGAGGTTGCAGTATCTTCTCCCACTATGCCGCTGACCATGGCTCCAATTATGAGCGAAATGGACAAAAACCTATTTTCCTACAAGTGGCCCTGCAAGTATTTATTTGCATGAATGTTCCAGCCAACGGTCAAACATGGCACAGATGTCTCAGAGTCAAAGGATATCACAGGCAGCTTACCACGTGTTCAAATCTCTCCACAGTTGTGAGATGATGAACGACCAACGATTCCGGCCTTCTTGGCTACCTTCCTAGCTTTTGCCAAGCGTGAGATTTCCAGCGTCCAAGCCCATGCCTGCCTGAGACACTTCATGTTAAACGATTTTTGCTTGTGCATTCTCACTTTCAAAAACTATGGTTTCATTTGCGTCAATCTTGAGATCTCTTGATCTTCCAAGGCCAATGCCATGATGGACGGCCAATGTTCATCTTGCATCTGCTAACTTAGCGTGTTTCAATTGGATATTCTTCCGAGAAAAAGTTTGAAAATACCAGACCTCCCAACAACACACCTCAAAAACATTCGAAGGTGGTTGAAGCACGCTCTACATGTTTTTGTTTCTCATACCAAGAAGCCCCAAAGCTGACGGTCCAAGATGGTGCATCCATCTCGTCCACGCAGTTCCGGATACCCTCAGATGTACGTTGCAAGAGCTTAGAAGGACCACCCTATGTTAAAACAACACACTTCTTATGAAGGTACTTCCCCTTTCGACACTCCAAAGATGATAAGCTATCCAATTCTTGACTACACACAATGAGCTCTTAGTTTCCTCCCTCCATTTAACAAAAAAGCAAGAGACGCATTGTGTCGGGCAGCCGGCAGCTTTTCAGCCATGGTTGCAATCTGAAAATCTCTGCAGGAAGATGGCTTTTTCAGTGACATCTTGTATCTTGTTTTTCAATAATCTCCAAATTACTTATCTTTTTGATTCAATAATGTTGCGCACGTAAAGCTGTCCATGCACATCTCTATGTAATTCTATTTCTGAAGCATCTTGTGTTTGATGCGCTTTTTCATGAGCCAAGAAAGATCACAGCAAAGCGACACATCAAAATCCAGCAAAATCTTGACACGGCAATCTGGCAAGCCTGATTTCAATATAAAATGGGGTACCCACCGCACCCCTTGAGGGGTTCCATCTCAAAACGCTTTATACAGAGGTAGTCCCCCTAGATTTAATGGAAGATAATGCCACGGGGATCCACGGGGATATTTCAACTGTGTCAATTGTACCTGCAACATCCTGCAACGAACAGTTCAGTTCAAGCTGATACAAGTGGCACAAATCTGCCGGCTTTGGGCGGCTCATTGGAGTTCTCTTCTTTGGCCTGCTTGCTGCCTGCACGTGTGGAGACATTCTGGATGGATCGTGTTGCATCTGAGATGCACCGCTAAGCAACAAGTTCTTCGACTTAGCACGACCGGACCGTGCAAGTCTCGACCCGCTCTGACACGAAAAAAACCGTCCGGTCTCGGCCTCGCAAGTTGGAACCTTTCAGAGCCTCGCAAGTTGGGTCCAAACGCAAAGCTTCACATGCCTTCGCCATTTTCGATCAGTGGATCCTGCCTGCGAGCTCGTTGAAGAACCTGCGGGAGACATGAGGATCTTATTTCTTCATGACCGATGACAATTGAAATCCTGTCATGAAAAACCTTGTCATGACTGTCATGAATAAATAAACGGACCTTCAGCAGCTGGAGCGACGATGTCCTTGACAATGTCTTTCGCCAATTGCTTCACCACGTGTCCGGAGATGGTCGAACCTTTGCCATGTCAACAACATGAGAAAATGGCGACCCCGACCCCAATTGCTGAACAAATTGGTGTGCGCAATCGTCTGAATGTGCATCTAACTTCGGACGAAGTCTTTTGTGCGTCATATGATATCATATGTTGGGCTATGTTGGGCTGGAACTCTGAAAGTGGTCTCGAACTCATGGTCGTTTGTAAAGCCTTGTCCGTTATGGCCCTAAACTCCCTCGGAAGAGTTGTTTGGCACGTCACAGCTCAAAATAAATCCAGGGACCATCTCCTGAAGATGCAGCCGCTCGAGCCCATGCTAATTGCTTCTCCTCACCACGTGCTGTGTCTGTCGCTAGCACGCACGCACACCCCGTTCTGAAAAGTTCGATGGCTGAGGATTTGACTGTCTGCTGTGGCCTGCACACAAGACATATCTCACCACCACTCACTGGAGGTGAGCCGACTTAAAGCTGAAAGCGCCTGTCATCATGTCTTCCAGTGAGCTTGTTTCGACCTTTACGAGCCAGCGTCCTGCAAAACGAACCGCACTAAGGTGTATGAGTTTGCAATCTGCGGACACTTGGGGGCACAGCAAAGCAATGGGTAAAATGAACGGCTTGGTCTTGCCTGGTCGGTTGGTAGAGACATTGTTCCAAACTATGGCATGGGGATTCAAGGGGCAAGTTTCATGACCACCATCTCCAGAGTCCTTGCCATTGACTAATGTCAAACAAAACGAATTTCAAAACGCAATGTCAATTGACCATTTAGCAATAACCAAAGCCTGAGGATTATTATTTGATACTATATAAATGAAACATAGGAGAAAGAAAGAAAGTCGAAGGAAACGCACCTCAGCTTCTCCCGCAAGAGAGGTCCAATGAAGCGCTGGCTTCTCTCACCTATGCAGCTGGCGACTTGGGGAGTCAGCCATGGTTGGACGGGTTACTAGTAGTTACTAGTAGCTTCTTGTTACCACTAGTAAGGCCAGGAGCCCCTAGTAGCGTCCTTGCTCCTTGTAGCGATGCCAGGAGCCCCTAGTAGCTTCGTGTCCCTCAATTGTTTTCATTTCAATAAAACAAGCATGCCATCATCCGTACACCCGGTACACTCGGTACACCCTCACACCCCCGCCAAAAGAATCTTTGCACAACACTAAGCATGTATGATGAGCTTCTTGCAATCTCCTTTATGGCTCAATTTCACAATTTCACGGAACCTTTCTCCACAGCAGGTCGAGTACTTCTCCCCAAATGACCCTAGTAATCCTTTAAGATCCTTTGAGGAGCCACCGAGCGGTCAAATAATATCAAATAATAGTGACGGCCTGCAACCTAATGGCACTTTCCTCCAACCTAATAGCCATGGCCTCCAACCTAGTAGCGATGGCCTCCAAGCTAATAGCGATGGCCTCTAACCTAATAGCAATTTTGCATATAAATAGTCGTCTATAATCCGTATATAGTATCAAACATTAAAAGATAGAAAGAAAGCCTACAGTCTGCAGCCACCGAATTTGACTCTCACAGTCACAGAAAAAAACAAGATCATCCCATCGTTTGATTCACAACCTCTCTATGGGATTGGCACGAGGAACCACTTGAGTCCTCGTTTGCCATGTGTAATTTGCAGGCCATTCTCTAGCAAGCCTCCCAAGGGGTCCTTCAACACGGACTGGAGAAGGACGATATTCGTCGCCTGTAGCTGGTCGGTTGCAAGCTGTGACAGCCCTACTCTCAGGCTAATGAAGAGGCAGTTGATTAATGTCGTTGATTCGACCGAAAGCACCATAGTAATTCATTCGTAGCATTGCAAAACTCGACCTGCAGGTGAGTCAGGTGAGGGCTCTGATCCTACAACTACTGCTCGACCCAGTCTCGCTGTAAATCTAAGTGCATCTATATAGATACTAAATCCGTCTGATTCATGGCTGAATGCATCTAAATGCCTGACGGCCATGGGTTCGTACGTCATTCGCCATTCGAGCTGAGTCACTGCGAAGGCTCCAAGCAGGAAAAGCCCACAGAAGGCCACTGAAATATTGTTTCGAAGCTGTCGAGCTCTTGCCTCCTCACTTCGGTCGGCAGGCTGGCTCTCTGCGGTCGACGTTGGTTGAGATTGTTCTGACAAACAACAACGGATTTAAGCAATATTTATGGCATAATACGCAAATGAAGACTATGGCATTAGCTTCAAGCTTGGAAGATCTTGGAAGAATGTCAGGGTATTGACAATTGAAATGTGGAACGCCCTCTGAGACACACAAAAGCAGCGAATGGCAGGATGATTTCAAGCTTTCCAAACCTCGTTGGCTTTGTGTCTTCCCTTGGGGTACTCTGTATGTGCGTCTCATTGTCTGTCATAAACTTTCTTATGACATCTTTGCGACACTCTGTCATATGGACCGCTTGTGCCATGCCTCATTGCACTTCCTTTGACCATCTAAGCGCTTCTCCGATTGGCTAATCACTGCTCTCATGATGTCAGCTCAGCTGAGCTGAGCTTCAGCTTCAGAAGCTTGGGCCAAAACATCTTCAAAGGTCACAAAGCTGGTCGCAACAGTCACCGCTTGTGCCCGAAAACGGTCACCGCACATCCGGTCCTTTCTCACACCAAAAGGCCTCATCGCCGGACTTGGACCTGGACCTGTGGCCGACCAAATGGCCCGACTGCATGGATGTACTGCAGTGAAAGGAAGATCTCTTTTGGCGGTTGCTTGCCATGCGCTTGGTCTTTGCCAACCCCCATCTGTCCAAGTCACTGGACTGGATGCCTGGCTGTAGGTACAAATCAAGGATGGCCAACATTAAGTGTTCCTCAACAAGGCATGATATGAGTGACAGTAACAGTAATCACACAAGTTTTGTGAAGGTCCTCTGATGGTGTCCCCAATCAACTCTTTTAGCCTAAACATTCGAAACCTTGGCCATTCGCTGCAAAACTGCTCTCCAGTGTTGCAAGGCTCGCCTCACCACGTGGATCCGGTCTTCAGGTCTTGTATGCAACCCAGTCTCGGATCCAATTCACCAGTCGCTGCAGCTGAACAGCGACTCCAAGTCCAGTGATGACTGCCATTTGTCTGGACATGTCATACGAACACATTCCAATGTATGCCACTGCACCAGCAAGTGCAAAGAATAGCAGCAACTCAGGAAGACGGCCCAAGTTAATACGAAAGCGGCCAATCTTGAAAGAGTGATCCGTATTGGATTCGTCAACAGCGTCTGTCTTCCCCTCGCAGTTCTGACGCTTGCGCACTTTGGAATCTGGTGCCATTGCTGGAATTGTCGCTATAAAAATGTCATCTGGCCCCTGTTGAAAACTCGTTGCATTGCAACTCACACAAAATGTCTTTAGCCCTCGTGTTGCACGATTGAACATGCCGGGTCTCCTAGATTCGTGGTGAGCTTGGCAGCTCATTCCGCACCAATTCCCTCGTCTGCAAGGCCCCTCATTTCATTTCACAAAATCTGTCCTCAGCCCTGACAGCTGCCATATACAAGTATCAAGAAGCTATGAACGTAACAAAGGGCATTTCTACTAGGAGCAAGGACGCTAGTAGTAGCTCCTGGCCGTACTACTAGTAACAAGAAGCTACGAACGTAACTAGTACATGTTCTGCGCCGGTTCAACTCCGATGTTTTGCAGTTTTGCAGATGTCCACTCGAACGCTGGAGCCCAAAGGTCGTTCAGAACAGGAGATCCTTCCGAAGGATCAAACATGGTCAAACTGGATCTATAATATAGACCCCCAATTAGATAGAAAAGTGGATCCCCACTAAAAATGTATTGGAAACCATATTGAATATTCGGCAACCATTTCAGGGATTGGCGTCGTATGCTTAAACCATTTTGGCACCATGCTACATAGCCTGGCATGGTAGTGAAAAACATTGCTACATCAATGTGGATTTGCTCCAGGGATCACTGTTACAGTGAGACAAAAGCTCGAGTATATTCGCTGTTTTCCATCCACTGCCCATCTTTGGAGCATTAAAAATCTGATAGAGCTTTTGCAATGAGGCGCATGGCAACATCAGTTTCAATTATCAATCCATCAGAATCTGCCACATCATTCTCTTCCGGAACGTCAACTTTGGCGGACAAGGCATGATTCAAGGAACCTTCTGGCACCCCTCCACCAAACGCCCACGCCTTCTCCAAATTCAATGCGTCCCAATAGACAGGAGCAAGCTGGGAAGTTGAATTGATGTCCTTTCGCATCTTCTCCAGATCTTCCTGCATGACTCTTCTCAACGCTCCCCTTGCAATCTCCAGTGCTTTGGCAGGAAGCTCCGGAAAGCGTTCCCTGCGAAACGCTCTGGCCAAAGCGAGTAGAGACACATCGACTCGAGGATTTTGGCCTCCAATCAGCATGGACTTCACAGGATACGGTTCCAATGCGTCATCTGGAGCTGTGGAGCTCTGTGTCCGAACATAAAGGAAAGGAAGCTCTTCCCCAGAGATTGGTTGCGCTTCCGCATACCAATCGTCCAGTTCTTCAAAGATCACGTTTCCTTCTCCAAGGCTGGTATTGCTAAAAGGCCGACCTTCCAGCCAACTCCTTCTGAAACAAAAACTGTTTTCGAAAGGCAGCGGAAGGCCCTTGCATCTCTGCAGAATCCCAGATGTCAGGACTGCCACAAAAGCTACCTGCGGAAGCGGGGAGCATGTTTTCTTTTTTTGTTAGTCTGTGATGTGCATGTGATTGAAACAGCTTGAAACACCTCTTGTTTCTTCTTGTGAATTATTGCAAAGGTATGAACGCCTGCTTTTGCCTGAATTCCTCGCCTGCTGGATGGTTTTCAACATGCGGTCACAAGTGTCTGAGGTTGTCGCAACGACGGTCTTCCAAGTCAGGTGCCGTTTTCCACGTCTTCTCTGCGTCCGTTTGCCTGAATGCTTGAGCAGCTGGCAGGGCGTGCCACCATTCTAGAGACTTGTTGTCGAAGCCTCGGAGCACAGACTTGTGAAAGAGCGGGTCTGAAACAAATGAGAATCTCTTCTGGCACTCTTCGCAACAATTTGTGATAAGAAACAAAGAAATCTACCCCCAAAAGCAACTTTGAAATTGAAAGATGACTATCTACAATGGTCCTCAAGCACTTCCATTAAACTGCTTCTCAGTTACCTTCATTGCCATGTTCCAACTTGAAACTCAAAGAGGTCTCAAATGGTCTGACCGCTTGGTTTCTCTGTGTAAGACATCCGATAGCCGATTCTGCGCCACAGAGGATCAACCGAAGACATATGATCCTTCAAAGCTTGTTGGTGGAATGCTACTCCGCGTGGCCGCAGGCCAAAAAACACAACCTTTATACGCTAAAGAGGCAGGGACCTAGTAGCAAAGCCTTTACCGCTTGTTTGCGCCAGTCCTCAGACATGCCCGAGGAGGTTTTGCGCCTTTCGAACGAGGTTCCGGAGGTTCCAAACAAAGTTTCATAGGTCCACAAAGACTTGTGGAACAGGTCGTTCAAGAGGCTAAAAGGAGATAAGAGTCCTGGACAAAAGGGCCCCTACATTCATTTAGTTGTGGAGGAGGTTGTGGAGTCGGGATTTTGGAGCCGTTCAGGTTCGGGGTTCTCTTCCATCCTCACGGTCCTCACACCTGGGCGAACCGCCACTGTGGCAGTTGCTGATGGGAGGCCGGAGTCACTGGGAGAGAACGGCAAATGAGCGTGGATGGAAAGTGGTTGGAACGGTATGTTTGTTTTAATGTTCAGGTATCATTTTCTAAGGACAGTTGCTCAAATGATCTCAAATGAATATAGCTGTTCTGTTGCAGGGGGCTTATCCACCAAAGCAGAACCTCCGCTGGAAGTTCTGCGAGATTTCGTCGCTGCAACGGGCGCCTACGCAGTGCTGGGTTTTCGGTGGTGCAATTGTCAACGGCAAAAGTCATTCAGAGTCAAAGAAAAAGGATGAAGAAGTCAATGACAAAGCGGAAAAGAAGGAGGCAGCTTGCAAGAAAAGCTCAAAGGCTGCATTTTGACAGGCCTGTTGAAGGTTCTCATGAAGGTTCCCCCCTTCTTTTGGCGCCGGGAAGTTTCCCAGCATGTCTTGGAATCAAGATGCAGCGGGTCCGGTGCCCGGATGTTTACAGGATGTTTCCGGTCGGGTTGATACTTGCTCTTGAGCAAAGTGCTTCTGAAATTTTGGGTGTCCCCATGGCGAGTTAAGTTTGGATCTTATTAAATCTTGTTAATTGCTTGAACAACTTGGTAGCGTCCCTTTTAAGGGGCCGTGGAGTGGCGGGAAATGTTTGGATGAGGTTTTGTTCGAAATTGTTCCGAAACCACAGCGCCACATAGCAGTGCTTGAAAAGTGTTGTTTTGCTTGTTTTGTCTCCCCAGTCAAGGTCCGCCCATATTTCGGACAAATTGTGTTCTTGTTGCAGTGTGGTTCCCTTTTTTTGAAGAGGGAAACAAGTTGCTCCATTTCATCATTTTTGTCTGAAGTTGTTGTACTTTGGGAAGCCAGCTGGAACTGGAAACAGGCTGGACAAATATTGGTTTCGTAAAATGCCAAACCAATGAAACAGTCTTCATCTATTCATCAATGTGCCAGCGTCTTGACAAACGACGCACGACAAGGCCTTGATGGACTCAGTTGACCCACGAACCACCAGTTCTTCGGACCGGGTTCTTCTATGGAAACCACCATCGAAGGAAAAACAAATCACAGGAACCTCCCAGACCTGCACAGTTGCTCACAACAAAACCGAGTGTCATTACCCCCACCCCGAACACGTCACATAGCACATGCAGTGGCGTAGCACGTAAACCAAGTGTCATTAAAAACGAACAAAAGTCCACGGCCTCTTAACAGGGGTCCCACCAAAAACTGGGATCGTCCTTTGAGGCTTCTTCCATCTTCTTCCCCTTTCCTTCAATGAACAACTCTGGACTCCATCTCAAAGATCGTTTTGGCTGTGGCTACAAGTTTGAAACGGTACCTATCTGCTCCAGTGGAACTGGCAGTGTCTGGCCATACCATACTCATTTATGTGGTCTGCGCAGTGGATCTTCACAGGTCTGTCATCTGTTCTCCATCTGGCACCAACTATTTTGGATGTCAAGCCATAAAAGACCCTGAAAAGGGACAGGTGCAGCTTCGTACCCTTGTGGTGGTCATCAAGTGAACCTTTCAGGTAGAGACCATTTGGCGACTCAATCACGCACAATAGAGACACCAAATTAATTAGACCATCTCATCTCAGGTCGTTTCACCGACAGCGCCCGGAATCGTTGCATGTTTCTTACCCGAAGGAAGCGTCGAGCGAAAAGACACGCCGCCAGCTGCGACTGGCTGCACGACTGAGGCTGAAACCGATCCACTGTGAAAATGTCGTCATCATCCCAAATGCAGATCATCTCAGCACCAGACCTGACAAACGAATGATGCTTCGAGTAGCTGGCCTGGTTGACCGGAATTCCATGCAATCCTGGAATTCCATCCATTTATTATCAGATCTTTAGATTGAACATCATGTACACTTAGACCCTATGTATAATCTGTCTATATAGCTCAAATTCGATCCGCGATAAAGCCCCAGGGGCCCCAAGCCATGCGAGACAATCGTGGGCCTTGTGGCCTCCGCTACAGCCATATTGCGCTTCTCCCCAATTGTGCATCGATCAACATGAAAATACCTCAGGTGCACCGATGAAGCGACCGGGATCTCTCCTGATCCAAGACTCATCTCACTTGAGATGATCAGGGAAAGGGATGCAACGGTGCCTGCTCATGAAAGCCGTCTTTGGAAAAAGCATTCATGCGGATGGCATTAACTTAATATTAAACTATACTTACTTAATATTATGGTGCTAGAATGTGCAGAATCTAAAATGCACCAAACAACAAACACAGCGCTGAACACTCAGCGGGTGGCATGAGACTCTAGGAGCTCCACCGGATATCGAGCTCTTGTGGAAATTGGCTTGCTTCCTCTGCCCGAGGACTGTCATCCATGACAATCACCTCCACATCTGCAATTTGCGTTGATTCAAACGGAAGCACGCACCCGCACATGACCGCTCTCCATGGGTTTTCCATGCTACGTAGGTACTTTGAAGTTCAGAAGAAGTGTTCACATTCAATGTGTACATTGCACATTGAAATTTGCAGGAAGCGCAAGCAGCCTTGCATTAGCATTTAATGTCACTCTTAACGTAGATCTGGTTTTTTGGGAAGCCCGATCTCATTTTCAGACAAGTCTTGCGCGGTTGTTGACAGTGCAAGGCGGCGCTGGTGGACTGACTCACTATTGTCGTATCCTCAATGTATCGCTGACCAGCAATTGCATGCAGCATCACCTTGCCAATCAAAAGAACAACCTCAAGTTGACACAGCAGCTGTACTTCCAATCACCGTGCCAAAAATATATTCTATGTTTTTGTTGTTTTTACTTCTTCATGTGCCGTATCTTGTCAAGTGTTTAAGATCCTCGAAACCATGCCTCATACGACCTCACAGTTTTCATACCAAAATCTGCAAACGCCTCAGGAAACTTGCTGTTCAATGCTGTTCAGCTGACTGCTGATGGTCTTACAAGGTGGTTGCAAATGTTCAAGGCAAAATGACACAAGACGTACCCAAGGGGAAAACAAGGCTGACAAAAATGGTGCGGTGAATGCTGTTTCGAGTTGCTGTCTTGCATACTCGCACATCGATCTAAGCTTGCCATCCCTGCTCTTGTCGTGCTGACGGGCAGGTACCTCCTCACGGCAGTTTGTGCTAGTGCGGAGCTCACGGCAGAGCTGGCAGTAAATTGTTTATACAATAGAATTTCAGATTTCCTGTGCCAAGGGCGGCCGCAGATTTCGTGGCAAGGGCAATGGCAGCAATTTTGTGATTTTGAGATATTTTGAGTTGCAGAACTGTGGTAGGACGGTTAATGAAAAACAACAATCCTCCTCAAACAACATGACACAGCAACTTGCAGCAGGGAACACGACTTTTGCCTCTGATCACACATCGCCTCCAATGGCCCGGGGTAGTCCTGCATGGCAATCTGTTGCAGCGCCTGTCCGACAGAAAGGTTTGCGGAAGAGGGGGGTCCCACCAACATAGAGCAAAGCTCTGGGTTTTGCCTCTGATGTTCGTCTCGGATGGATGTTGTTCATGGCATTTCGCTGCTCATTGCTCCCTCCCCGTGCTGGCCATGCCTGTATTAAAAAAGCTGAGCGGTTGTAGGTGACAATCTGCACACTCACAAATGGCCAAACCGTACCTCGAAAACTGCCCCACATCTGCTCACATCACAACGGTGAGCTGAGGGCCTTACGTTCAGAGCGGTCCGGCTGCACTCGTCCGCATGTTGCCTAGCTGGATACACAGAATGTCCTTTCCGCTTATGTTCAAGAGTTGCAATAATTTTGTTTTGTGCTATGGGATTGTAAATAAAGCATTTCTTGTTTTGTTTTGAACATATATACTGTATGTATACACATTATAATGTATGTCGACTCCAGAGTTTGTTCCAGCTTCAACAGGAACCCAACAAGGCAGCTAGGGCTGCTAGGGTCACCAAATTGCCAAGGCTCCAGCCGAATGGCGCAGTCCTGCTTGGCTGGGCTGGACACACGTCGAACAACCGTTGTCCCTGGTTTTACTGTGGTTCTTTCTTCAAACAGTGAGACTGGACAATGCCCGAGCTCAGGACAAACAACATCAAACTATACATATAATTGGGCAGGTCGCCGTGTCGAGCATCTTCATAGTCCTTTTGCTCAGTCTTCATGGATATAGATCTTTTTGTCGGGTCTTCCTACATTTTTCTTCCTACATTTTTGTTCGGGAAGGAAAATTTCAACCACGCCACAGCGGCAGCTTACGCGCAGGCTGTTTTCCAAGCGCAGAACTGTTAGGGGAGGAAGCAAATGATGACGAGGATGACGAATCATTGCTACTAGGTTGGAGGCCATGGCCAGTAGGTTGGAGGCCATCGCTAGTCGAGGGTAGATCCCCCAAAACAGAAGAATTTAATAGTTATGATCACCGGGCGAGACATAGAACTACGGCTCGCAGAAAAGCATCAGCTTCTGATGGCGAGGGGCGATTGGCTTGGAATATTTAACAGTTTGCACGATGCGCTAGAACAGGTGCCACGCTAGTAGTAACAGGTGCCTTACTACTAGTAACAA